CCAGGGGCCCTGCTGTGTCCTAGCACCATTTGGACATCGTGCGCCCTGGGCTCAGAGATGAACTTGGTTGGCATCGTCAGGATCCTACAGGCGGGGAGCTCTGATGGGGTGTGCTCTGTGCCCCGGTTCCCACTGAACGCCATGCCATCTCTGGCAGCGGGAGCGGAGCAGAGCCTTGGAATGTCCCTCCCTGGGGCTGCCCAGCCTCTGGATCCCCTGGCAGGGGAGTCCTTTCCTGTCCGGCTCTGTCCCTGGGGCCCACCCGGGCCCTCCAGCCCCTTCCCCACTCTCTTGTCGGGTGCGGCATCACCCCCTCGGTCCCTCCTGAGGACTGGTGGCTTCTTCCTACCGGAGCCTCCCCCCTTGCAGGGCCCCACAGAGCAGACCCCGGCACGTGCTTCCTTGAGGTCTCCTTCACCCTCAGCCTAGCTCGCTAGGGCTCCTCCTGCACACCTTTCTCCCCCCCACCGCGTCCCACCCTTCATTCTGTGCCCTCTGAACTTATCCGCTCGGCAGAGAGCAAGATGGGCCCTCGGGTCTGTCCCCTGCCCAGCACACCCAAGGGCTGTCCCTTTCCTCTCCCTTCAGAGGCGGCTGGCCAGTCGGGGCTGGAAGCGGGCAAAGGAGGCAGGAAGGGGTGTGGTGGGGCAGGGGCAGCCGGGAGGGGGCCTGGGAAGAGAAGGAGCTAGCTGCTGGCTTCCCGCCCTCCCTTGCTCGCACCCCAGCCCGGCTAAACCTGCCCTGTGTTGCCGATTCCTCCCCCCAGGCCCGGCTTCTCTAAAGAAGTCAGGAAAGCTGGACTTCTGCAGTGCCCTCTCCTCTCAGGGCAGCTCCCCGCGCATGGCTTTCACTCACCACCCGCTGCCTGTGCTTGCTGGAGTCAGACCAGGTGAGAACTGCGGGCCCCGGGGCGGGGGGCAGCGGGGGAGGCGGCGGGCCAGCTGGCCAGGCGAGGGAGCTAGGGCCACCCCGAGCGACAGCCCCAGGCCCCCGGAGTAGGCAGAGGCACGGGCCCTGCGTCCCAGGCGGCACCTCCTCACCTTGTTCCCGGGCTTCTCACACGCGTGTGTGCTTGCGTGTGTGCCTGGGTGTGTGCGCACGTGTGCGCTGTGCCGCACGGGCCCGTCCCGAGGCCCCCTGCGGCTTGCCGTGTGACTCGCGAGGCCTCGGGCCTGCGCCTGCCCAGGTCTTTCCTGCTGCCAGCGGCGGGTGGGGAAGCACAGACTCCTCCCTCGGTCCCCCTCTTGCCTCTTCTCTCCCGGCCGCTGGCTGAGCCCCGGGTCGGGTCGGGGTCCGGTGTCCCGACACCAGCCCGGGGCGGTGTGGGGGCACAGATTGACAGGAGCAC